TGATATCGAAACACAGAGACCCCTTGGCTCAGCGAGTATTATTTTATCTGCACGCTGTAAGTCATTGAATTTCTGCTGTCAGGCGCACTCCACAACCTGCCACTACTACTAGACAATTATAAGTTACCTCTTAGGGCCATTTATGCGAGCAAAACAAGAGGCCTCTAACGTAAGACGCTTCCGAACTTCCTGAAACATGGCACATTTTGTGTGCATGAAATGAGACGCTACTGAGCTAAGACGCGTCTTATCAACTAGCCTGCGAAAACATCCGTTTCTCCTCGCTCTTCGCCGCTGGCGCTGCGCGGAGGAACGTCTGCGACTCAGCGACAGACATTCCATACTGATGGCTCAAATCAATGCTTACATAATAAATCCGGTAGTCGTGGGGTTCCAAATATAAATTTATACAAATAAATAATTATTAAATAAATAATTAATTAAATAATTATTAAATAAATAATAATTTTACGTGTCTTCTTGTCGATTTTGGTAAAGTGTTGCGCTCATCTGCCCACGAGTCCAGCAAAACTCAAATGCTTCTTCTAGAGAAGACTATATTCCACAAATATTGACTGTTTTGTTAGAGATTCTTCGCGTTTACATTTAACCTTTGTGGCCTTTTGTCTTTTATCTGTCATTCGTAAACAATAGCTAAAACAATGAAACTACTCCGTCGACCAATCAGCGCTTCTGACCGGATTCCGGACAGATTTTACGTCTTCAGTATGGAATTTTTGTCGCTGAGTCGCAGACGTTTCTCCGCGCGAAACGTCCCCAGCGGCGAAGAGCGAGGAGAAACGGATGTTTTCGCAGGCTACTTATCAACAACAGTACAAACACTTGTTTTTCGTATGAATGACCTTCACGTTTCATTAAAGCGTATAGGGCGCATGCGTTACATTTAGATTGGGCCGGAAAATTTTCGCGAGGCAGGTTGTGGACTAGCGGAAAAAATGGTTTACGATTTACAGCAGATTTCCTTCTCCGTCTGTTTTTTATCTGCGGCTTTTTTTTTTTATTTGCTCTTTTGATAACACTCACCGCAACAAAACGGAAACGTAATTTTTTCAAGCGTTAAAGAGGTTTTGCTCTTACGCAATAAAAATGCAACTTCCGACCTTCTCGACAAGCAAGTCACTTCTGCTTATGTAATTATACTCTTGGTGAGTAGAGAGCTCTAAGAGATCACAGCATGCCGCCAAGACAAGAAGTCGCGAAACATACGAGCTTTTCGTGTCTTAAGTAGGACATGCTCGTAAAAACGGTATACTTTCCGTCCTCTTTTTCCTCTTATAAATGGCCCGAATAAATTTGGACACCCAACAAGGTCATTTTTCGGACTGGTTTTAGGAACAATCAGTCAATCCTCAGAGTACTTTAATTTCCAGCCAGGACCCGTGTGAGGATCTGAATCAGGTTTCTGGGTTAGGCTTAGGATCCTAGCTCGGATCATAGCTTTATTCCCACTTTATCTTGTCAATCCTAGTTGTTGTTGGCTTATTGTGTTAACTTATTAAGGAATACATACCTCTTCTTCAGTCTCAAACGATGACTCGGACACCGGTCTGAGGCTTTGCTTATTGCTAAAAAAACAACAGCAACAACAAAAATAAATAAATAAATAAATAAATAAATAAATAAATAATAATAATAATAATAATTAATAATAATAATAATAATTAATAATAATTAATAATAATAATAATAATAATAATAATAATAATAATAATAATAATAATGAAAGGTTTGAACCCAGGAGTCATTTCATAAGTAGGTGAAGCATAATCGTCCGGGTGATCCTAGTCCTAAGTAGTACTGTTTGTTGACACTCACTGAAGTTTCAAAAACCTGTGCGATAGTCATCTTCGGAGTCAAAGTGAGTTGTATCACGTCAGTTGATGGTATTAAACTCTGGTTATTGACCTGATTGGTCAATTAAGTCGCGATGTTAGTGGTCCTCTGTCAGTTAAGCCATGATGTTATTGGCTATCAAGACTCTTAAATGTCATTGGTGCGTTTCGATCCGTCTTTTTGTCACAGTTGAAGAGTCGTTTTTTGTTAGTCAAATTATCGCATTTCAGTCATTCTATTGTTGTCAGTTTTGTTTGAGTCCGTCAATAAGTCGTTTGTACGGTGCTGGTTATTGTTGACTGAGATTCAGTGGTGTTTGTTCTAAGTTAATAAACCAGCTTTCTAAAGTGAAGCGGTGGTATGTGGAATGCGTTAAGCATGTCGCTTTGATGTTTCGTCTGTTAATGGTATTCAGCAATGTGATTGTTGACATCAATATTTCTCGTCAGTCGCGTGCTAAGGTTTCTGCCGGTCTGACCAGTGTAAATGGCCTGGCGGTCGCAGCATTTGATCTTGTATACTGCTCGCTGTCTGTGCTCCAGTCTGTCTTTGTCCTTGACAGTAGTAAGCAGTCGTCGTAAAGTGGTTATCGGTTTGTATGCAACGCGTATGTTGTAAGGTTATTTATTTATTTAAGGTTATTTACTGTAGCTCTGCCACTGATTTTCCCAAGTGTAATTATGGTAATATTTTGTTCTAATTATTTAACTGAGGGAGCCCATTCCTTATAAGCCCGGTGGCTTCTTTTGGGCTTCCTCGCCATGAGAGTTTAAATAATTAGCTTTTTTTTGCCTTGTACAACTTATGGCAAACAAAACAATAAACAATAAACAATAAGGTTGTAGTATAACGTGCGATAGTTTTAGAGGCGCCTCTGATGTACGGTAACAGGGCCAGAGTTAATATTAGTCTTTGTGTTGGAATTGGTGTTACTGTGAGTGTTTCGTCGAATAAAAAAAAAAACATGGAAAAAGTTTATTGTTTTGGAAAATTCAGCTTTCAATGCGATAGTTTTAGAGGCGCCTCTGATGTACGGTAACAGGGCCAGAGTTAATATTAGTCTTTGTGTTGGAATTGGTGTTACTGTGAGTGTTTCGTCGAATAAAAAAAAAACATGGAAAAAGTTTATTGTTTTGGAAAATTCAGCTTTCAACCGAGAGAAGAAAACTTTCAAGGACGAGTGTGATTGGTAACCGCTGCATCCTCTCTTGTGGGCACGACTCAAACTCAGTTTCACCCAAAATAGGTTGCTTTTCTTAACCTTCCACGCCTTTCGAGAACAATAGATTTTCCTCAATAGCATTAAATTCAGCACATGTGAAATGTTCCGCGTGAACAAAACTTTCCACTTAGAGATACAGGTGTATACACATGGAACCGTGAACCCAATTTGTTGGCTTTCCCACCATGCTTTGTAACTTTCTTTTTATTTCTATTTTTTGTGTGATAATAAATTCTTGAAAAAAAAAACACATCTCACCTTCTTTTGTCACTTTGCGGCAAATTCACCCTGATTACTTTGAAATTAGGCGTGGCACTCTTCTGGCCGATGGCGACCAGACCAAGCTCAAAGGAACAGACCGCTAAACAGGTCACCTCACTCTCCACATCAAATGAAGTTAGCAGTTTGCCGGATTCGATGTTGAACATTTGAACGGTTAAATCAGAACGAGGAATAATACATTCCTTTTCACTGATGAAATTGCAATGATTAAAAAGAGAAAATGGAGGGAAAGTACGAAGTGTATTTCCTGTTTTGGCATTCAGGACCAACAGGTCTACTGTCGACACGACAAGCAAATGTTCCATAGGGGAGAACACCGCACGCACAGGATTGGACTTCATGACTCTGTCATCCTTTTCTTTTTTCCAAACAACTTTTGAGCCATCTAGCAGTTGAAGTGTGTCAAACGAATTACTGATGGTCACCAGCTGCCGTTTCCTGTTGCACGCCAGAACTTTTCCGTGCAAAACTGGGATTGTTGACATGATTTCTCCACTGCTCGCACCCAGGAATTTTACTTCAAACTGTGTTACGACTGCTACTTGTTCTTTAGATAAAAGGATCAACTGTTTGACTCCATGCAGGTTAGTCCACTTTTTGATACATGCATAGAGATCATGATCCCACAACTCAACAATGCCTTCTCTCATTGAAATTAAGACACCTCTTCCCACGGGACACAAAAGACATCGCCGCATAACCCCAAGCTCAATAGAAGATTTATGCTTCCCAGTTGACACTTCCAAAGCAGTAATTGATGTGTCACTTGCAACATACACGGTCTGACCATCAAAACTGAGTGCAACCTCAGTAGCTTTAGCAGCTTTGCCTTGACTGCTTTTGTTTACATCTTTGATATCCATCATTTCTATTTGTTTGTTACTGCAACGTAACAGACGTTGTTCATCAAGAACAAACATCATCCTGGCATGAGGAAGGTCTGCGTCAATTAGATCTCCAAACAAAAAGCCACGATCATTGAAAGATTCGAAACTCTCAATATCGAAATTCACGTCATTAAAAGAACCCTTTAAAGAAAAGGTGTCGTGGGTCTCCCTACAAACAGTGAGACGAGACAAACGTACCTCTAGCTCTTTGTCATAACAACAAAAAAGAAATCGTTGATCAGGTGAAAATTTTAGCATTCCGCATACTCCTGGGGTAGCTGTTTGTGCTAGTTCTCTAAATCCGTGCTTTGCATCAACCAGACAGATTAAACCTGAAGAATGGGAAATTGCGAGCAGCCTTTCGTCTCGAGACAAAGCAAAAGATAGAATTTCTTCGTCTCTTGGGATTCGATCAATCTCAGAGCCATTTTCCAAACTCCACAAGACAAGGCATTTAGAACTCTCAAGACAATTAGTTAGAATCTTTGTCTTGTCTCCGGAAATAGAGCAAACTGAGAACCTACAGTTACTTCCCGGAAAAAGTGGTTTCAAGTCGCCTTCCATAGTGTAAGCCTGACCTAGAATCCCAGGTAAAACAAGTGTTTTAGTAGGATGGAAAACAACAGAGCGGTACAAAGAGCAAGAGAGCCCCCGTGACGGGAGCAAACTGTCCATGTTGTAACTCTTCTCTATTACGACTGGACGTGTCCACTCTAGCCTGCCTGTAAGAAGTGACCACAGCTGGAGCATACCGTTTGTACATTCACACACCATATAGTCCAACTGTCGAGAGACGTCCAAACAGACCACATAAAAAGAGCATATAAATCGGGCTAGAATACCTCCTAGCTGCGTGTTCTTGTGAACATCTTCCATGTATGGTATTTCTGGATATTTGTGCCGCAAAAGATTCAATGCCTGGACAGACAAAACCTTTCCTCCTTCGTTTAGCATGGTTTGCAGAAACGTTTGAGGGTAATGGGTGAGCAAACGGTGGTGCTTTCGTAATAGAAACAACAAGATGTCCAAAGTACTTTGGCAATCCAGTGATAATTTAGAAGTCCCCTGCTTTCGAAGCCAAAGAAGATCCTCAACCATCACAGTGCTATTTACACAGGTCTTGGCATACACGATTTCTAAATCTACAATATACGAATTCGTCAGTCTTTCCAGCTCAAGAGCCTCTCTCTTGACTCCTACATGAAATATGTGACGAGCACCATGATTCAGCGAGTACATCTTAGTAGCGCTTAATTGTACACTGTTTACACCTTTCTCTTTTAGATCATCCAGTTCCTCAGCACAGAGGTCTGCTAGTATACGGTGTCCTTCTATTTCATCCATGATGAATTCATGCTTCCCATAACAAGAAATGTCCGTTAACCAGTCTCTAACTGACTTGTGAATGACATGAAGACAATCGTCACGGACGGGAAGAAGTGCGGACACACTGTCTAACGCTCTTTGTACTATACGCTTTAAACGTCTCGAGTTAGTACCTGGTTCTAGTACTGGTACTAGTACTCTAGGAACAAAACCAACTGGTAGGGGTTCCCTTGAAGCAGTAATGGCAGAAAGCAAATTTAGGAAGTGTTCTTCCTTTATCTCAAGGTTCTTCTTGAGTTCAGTTTCAAGACGTTTGAAATACAAATGATACACCGAAGAAATGTCTGTCGGCAAACTGCTCTTTAAGTCATTTTCGATGAGAACTGATACATTTCTACTAATGGACAAAATAAGGAAATGGGCGTACAACATGAGTCCCTCAGATTGCAACAAAAGTTTATCGAGAAACTCGTCAAAAATGTCTGGTTCGATCACGTGCTGCAGCCCCATTTGAAAAAACACTCTGATGTCTTCTAAATTCTTTTCATCATCTGACTGTAATTGCAGTGGTTTTAACTGTCTTAATTTCTCTACAATGGTTGAAGCAGGACGGGTAGTGACAATAAAACGTATCCAATTAGGAAGCTTACAAAACTGAATTGCAATAACATCAAGAAGCTCATTTCGTCCTTGATATTCGCTTTCATCCAGGCCATCAATTACCATAAGCATGTTTATTCCTGGATCAACGACGGCATCAAGTGGTTCCTTAAAAAGCAGTGCAAACAACTCCTCAACTCCCATGTTCTTGAGCTCTGTGCCCAGGTTTCTTGTTAGCTGTTTCTCAAGAGCTTGCTTGTATCCTGGCAGGGCATGGGACAAGTGACACGCGAGAGACTGAATCATCAACTGAGGCTTCGAGTAGCGTACATTATTATACTGACAAAAATGACTTCCTAATAGCCTACTAGCCTCTTGCATTCTCTTGCAAACTACCGCTGCAATAACGGATTTTCCCATCCCTGCATTTCCACTGATCACCATCACACGGTTTTGGGAGCTTCTGTTATCCAGCCAGTTCTGAACTCTGTCAAAGACCCACTCACGGGTACCTTCTTGAAATCTTTGCAAGTAATACTCAATGTCCCCTCTGAATTCACATTTGGCAAGCTTCTGAAGAACTCCATCCGCAATGTCTTTTTCTCTTTCTTCTACCAAGCTCTCGACTGTGTACCTGACGCCTTCTACTGCCTGTTGAGTATTTTCGTGGGCCTGAAACAATTCCTGTAGTGTCTTTTGCGTCTCAGCTTGCTTCTGGTGTATATTCTTCAACTCTAACTTGATATTCTCTTCACTGTCAGAACACTCAATCAACAGGTCAATATAATCTTCCTCTCCACCTTTCTCTGCCTTCAACCTGTCTACGTCTGCCTGATCAAGGCCAAGACTCACTAGAACACCACTAATTTCAGTCCACAGGGCAGAGAAAGTTGGTATATCAACACCAGTAGTTGTCACATGACCATACAAGACATTGCGATAGAACTTAACCCGTGCAAGGTTAGCCTCATGAGAGGTGTCACTTGCGGGTGGTTTAGAGTGCCATCCTGAAGGGGGAGGGGTTAATCCACAAATGTTGGTCAGAAGCAGAAACAGAAGAGTGATGTCAAAAGTGTTAGAGTCTGGTGCAACTCCACCAGGTGGAAACAGTTTTTCCCACTGAGGTTTATGCAAAATTTTTTTCTTCAATAAGTTGCTAAGAATAGTTTTGCTGGTATTGAGATCAGCAGCCAAGTTTGCAGGAGGATGATGACCATCAAAAATCTTTCTAAGAACTGTTGTTCCACCGTCGATGAGAAGCCTGCTGAGCTTGGCTCCATTTGTCTTCTCCACAGAACTGGCCAGCGGTGATGGTGCTGCGGTAGCCATGAAAAGGTCCACTACATATTCCTGCAGGGGAAAGAAAAACAATGCAAAATTATTTGTGAAACTATTCTATTTTGAAGCAAATATGCCTGAAGAGATCTTGCTTAAAAGCAACATGAAATTTTCTAAATCTTTTAATGCAGTACATTAGCCTACTTTCAAAGTTTTCCTCAGCCTCTTCATGAAAACGAGTTCTAGTGTACAACGTTTTATGTAAAGGTGTGTTGAAAGATCTTCAAGGAAATGAAACTGTTTTGCATTGTACATCAGTAGAACGACACTTTTCAGGAGAGGCAGAAATGGCTAATCATGTTACTGTGAGTTGTTGACTAGAGTGCTTACAGTCACAAAAATATTTCTTTACTTATTCAAGCTTATGAAACAAAAATGAAATAATTAGTTTGTGTAAAATTCGCTTAAGTAAATTAACCTCTTTCCTTCTTAGCAGTAACACACTCTTTCTGTTTTTGCATAAGAAATGACAGAATGTCATTTATTTCAGATGACGTTTGTTAATAGTTTGTTTCACACACTTGGCTGACTGTAAACATATCCTATTACCACATATCAGGAATAAGGGAGTGGGGTTGAAACCCACCCACCCCAACTCCTCCTTTCTCTCCGTTATCCTCTCACCCTAAGGACATGACAACAAGGTTTATGGAGGGGAGATTGCTTTGCGTTCGTCCAATGTTATCCATAAAGGTGGAGATTTAGGCCAGCTGATACCCCTGAAAATACAGTTTTTAGACTTGACAGACAGCAAGTATTGATGTCTGTGTCCATAATGCCAAACTGCGAGATGGATCATTCATACAATTTGCATTTCAGTTCCCACAAGTTATTGTCAGAAATCTACTTGATGCTGCAGCATTCAGTGTGCGAGCTCTTGGGCTTTTTAATACAAATATGCTAAATATATCAAATGAAATCATCAACTTACCCCCTGACATTGTCTTTGATCATTGCTCCAGTCATTTCTCCTCTTTACTCCACCATGATCTATCCAATCTGTCAGCCAATTCAAATCAATTAAAAATCAAAATCACCAGTATTTTTAAGATGCAACTATCTGATGGCAAATAAGCTTTGGGCAGCTCACAGCCATTTGTTCTATTTTTTTTTTTTTAATCTCAGCCTCTCCATAGTTGTCATAAGAGTGATAATTAAAGCATTTTACGTGGACAAACTTGTAACTGAAAAGGAAAAGAATTCGTCCAATGTAATATATATGTAACAGGTACAATTTAAAATATTTCTCAATTTTTGATTGGCTCAAATCCCCAGGCTGATTACATACATACATACATACATACATACATACATACATACATACATACATACACACATATATACATACATACATACATACATACATACATACATACATACATACATACATACATACATACATACATACATACATACATACATACACACATACATACATATTAATAATCACGGGAGTTCAGGCTTCAGGAGTAATCATTGATCGTTTATTGCGACAGTGCTGTTTCGTATGGTCCCGAAATTGTAGGACCACACTCATCAGGCAACTTCTACGATCAATGATTACTCCTGAAGCCTACCTCCTGTGATTATTAATAGTCAATGCTCTTCAATTAAATGAATTGAGCGCTCTACGAAATACGTTCTACCTAGAATACAAGTATTTACGTACATACATACATACATACTTTATTGCATAGCTCCCCCTTGGGGGCTCTTCCGCCGTACATAAACTAGAAAAATGAATGAAATGAAAAATAAACTAGAAAACTATTTACATTTCGGTGATAAAATAACGAATTTCTATAAATGATAATGATAATAATAGAACATTAATTTTAAAGACTATTTACATTTCGATAATAAAAAACTATCTATGAATTAAAAAGATATTTAAAAATTCTCTTTTTAAAAACGTTAAGATTTCCCGTGTCTCATATCTTTAGCTATACTATAGTACAGTTTTGCCCCACGGTAGGTGAAAGTCTTTTGACCAGTGGCCAGCCTATACCGAGGCAACGTAAGGTCATCATTCTGTTTAGTGACTCATTGGTGAGTTTTTGCATGATATGGAAAGCGTCCGTGAACGTAACCAGGTGTTAAGTTCTTTAAGCATTTGTACACCATCACTAGGTCCTTAAAAAGCAGTTTATCCCTTACGTTAAGCCATTTAAGGGACTTCAGGGTTTCTGAAACATGACCGTACTTTCTTAAACCAGCTACGATTCTGCAGGCATAGTTCCGAACTAGCTGAAGTTTTCTAACGTTCTTCTTGCTCGTGCTTCTCCATACCGTCGAACAATAAAATAATTTGCTGAAGACGAAAGCATTTATAAGATAGATCAGTGTATTTTTTTTATCTAACAGATGCTTTATCTTATTAACTCTCGTTAGTTTAAACATACAGTCAGAGGCAGTTTTAGTGATATGTTCGGTAAAGTTAAGATGACAATCTATACGCACTCCCAGGTCCTTTGCAACTGTTACAGGCTTGATTTGAGTTCCCAGCATTGTCGCACTTGGTAAGGGGGTAGCTAATGTCGTCGTGAGTTGTGGGACGCCCACATAAAGGAGCTTTGTTTTGTCAAGGTTAATAAGCAGCGAATTTCTACAGCACCAAATCGATATTTCTTTATGATCTTCGTTTACTTATTCTTCATAACTAGCTATCGTTGAATCTATTAGCCTCCAAGCAGTCTCACTTTTGTTAATTCAAGAAAAAACTATTTTGGCAGTGGAGTCACCATCCAGCAAGGAAAAGTCATTCTGCACGCGGGCTATTGATTTTTGAATTTTGCGCTTTTCGAGGTGTCAAGATATCATCCAATAGGAGAAAATCAAATGTATACAAAATGACAGGAAGTTGCAAGTGCAGATGTCCTGCTAAACTGCAGCAGAAGACAAATCCTGTCAGAAACAAACACCACAGAATTCAATTTGCTTAAAACAGACCACTTTCATCTCGACAAGCGGAAAGAATAATATTTGCTTTGTCAAAATTACTGTAAGAATCCATCCATAGCATTATCTACCTGCTAGAAACACGTGGCTTTTTAACATGAGTTTGCGTGAAACAGACCAACCTCCTCAACCTCTCAGCGTGAGAAAAGTGGTTAATGAATTTGCTTAGTCCAACTAAGCGGCATTTTCATATGAGGCAAAACTAGTGCAGGCCTTCCAACGCTTTTAGTTTGATATGCAAATGTTTATGCCCCATATCCTTGGTTTTTATCATAATTTGCCTTTTGGCACCAGTCACTTTTAACCAATTAGATCGCTGTGTTTGTCAGCGAATGCGGAGTATTCAAAAATCAATAGCCCGCGTGTACGCCAACTCCTCCTCGCTGGATTTCGCAAAATAAATTTTTCTAAAATTCGCACTATTCGCAATATGAGTTTGACACATGTATCCAGGGAAACCGGATACTAACTATTCGATAGTAACTACAAGATGTCAGTAGGCACACGTGGAGGACTACCTATCACGTGGTTATATGGTGCTCTATCGTCGTGTTGAGATATAAAAAGCGATTTGTTTTGTGAAATGGCCTTGGCATCGCAAGGGCTAATCGAAATTCTACATTTTTTAGCTTTTAAAGCAAACTTAGTCTTTTTTTAACGTATGTTTTTTGAAAACAAAAAACGGGATCTAAGGCGATGAAAACAAGTATGGGATGCTAGATTAACGTGAAAAAGTACCGGGATTAATGGGGTATCAGGACTCCCTTTCCAGACCCTACTTTTAGAATAAAAATGTTTCGTTTGTTTCAAAAATAAAAAAATTAATCTATTTCCAGTTCAATGAAAAACGAAATAATTTTTAGCTTTACTTTCACTTTGTTTTCAATGCAAAATAATTAAAGTTTAATCTAACATTAACAGATTTATGTCGTTTTGTCGAATGGCAGTTGTCGGCCACCATACTTAAGCATTGTTTTCAATTTCTCTTGGGGTGATTGTAAGGCCCAAGAGAAATTGAAAACAATGCTTATGCAAAAAATTTTGAAACTCACCAATCTAGTTTAAAAGGACATGCAATGTTATAAGTCTTCCGGTGGATTACAGTTTTGCAGTTAATTGCCAAAGTCCAGAAAAAGCCGAAACAAGAATTGTAGTCTCATGTCGTCCATAAAACGTGAAAATTGAGGTTTCACGTCGTAGGTCGTGCTACGGCAGCAGGCTACAAACAAGCGTGAGTTCAGTGTTGATTTACAAAACATACATTTTTATTATTATTTTGTCGTTGTCGTTGCCGTCGTTTTTGCTTCACCGACCCACTGACGAAGGCCCTGGCTCCAACCACCTCTCGCTTTCGTTCTCCAAAATTCTCTCACTTAAACTGTAACTTTCTACGCAGAACGGCCGCTACTTCATGTATACTATAACACCTCCTTTTAGAGTCTAGCTGTTTTTATTTTGTGGATAGTACGACCTAACTTGTAGCAACACTTTTGCCTTCTTCAATGCTCAGTCTGTGTTTCGGTTATCAGCCAAAGTCTTTCAGTATACATTTACTAGAATTAAAGTTATGCAAGGGTAGATAACTCAATTGTTTGTGTTCATTGTCTCTGCTGGTTGTTTATTTGTAACGACCCATAAAATGATGCAACAAAATGTCCGCATTCTTATCAGATGCTGAAGGTATGAATAGCAGAGTTACGTATGGAACAGAAAAATAATAGTGGATGACCTGACCAAAAACCTCTCTGGAAAAAAAAAATTCCTCAAATCGTGTAAATGTCTCACAATTGTAATTTAACTTGTTTTCAATTTGTTTTTAAAAGATAATCTAATGTCATGGCTTGCACACACGCCGAACCGTAAAATTCTCCCTTTTTATACTACTACATGAGAAATTTCTGCAATTTGATTGGCTTAGAGCAGTGGCATTTCAGCTTAATTTGAAATACCTACATGTGAAAATTACAACCCTTTTGCGGGTAGTAATATAAACAAATAATAGAATGATTTGTAGCTGATATTTGACATAAATA